TTAATAGCTGTAATTTACAGCTATTAAAAATTACCCTTTCCTTTCAATCTGCAGCTTAGCCCCCAGGAAAAAAGACAATAAGTTGAATCCACAAGTTTGTCTAAACAAAAAACAGCAACAGGTAGAATTTTGTAAATAGGTTTCCTAAAAACAATGCAATGTATATAATTTACCAGGAGAGATTTTCTTCCAAAGTGGAGTTGCACAAACATTATGTAATAGAGGCAATTACCGCATGCAGATTTATGACTACAAAACACAGTCCGTTTCTACAGTTTATGTGAAAAATAAAAGTACCTTTCCAAAAGTTGCTGCACAAGCTGGCTCCAACTTCTCCTTTCTGCAGAAATCCAGATAATGTGCATACAGTATACACCGTGGCAAGCATACCCCTTCACATACAATGTAGTTTTCTTCCAACCTGCAATGTAAAAGACTTACTATTTGTTGTGTTCATCTTATACCATGTACAAGTCATATTACATTTGTCTGTATTGCCAGACTGAAGAAATTAAGTTAGAATCTTAACATGAAGCAATTGCCTTCTTTTCTTTTGTATCTAATGTATCAATGTAGCCAAAAACCTGTTGTATGCAATTGTGTTTAGACATTTCCCATATCTCTTATTTTCATTGAGACCTCGACATTTTGTGTTTTTGAAGCTGGGAGGTAGGTGCCTCAAATAGAAAATAGATGATCTTCTAAACCAGGCCCAAGAATGATTGTTTTCTGCACTTCTGCTGTTTTAAAGGGAAACTATTTTGGTTTTGGGCACATTCGAGTTTAAATATTTTTAAAGTTGTTATTATTATTATTATACTGGATTTATATAGCAGCAACAATTTGTGCTGTGCTTTACAAAATGGAGGGAGACAGTACAGTTACAATACAATTTCAATACAGGAGAGTTAGGAGGGCCCTGCTTGTGTGAATTTTACTATCAAGTAGGAGATTTATAAGTTCTTAATTCAGCATATATACCTTTTTTTCTACATGTATACAATCTTTGTTTTTATAAATAAGCATTGAATATATGACAAAACAATTCACAGAGCACTATGGAATAGCAGTAGCAGCCTTCCTTGGGGATCCCTTTGTCTGATTGGAACTTTGGCTTTGTGCAGCTACTGGAGCAGACGAAAGCACTCTGTGTAAGCTGTGAGTGGTAGCTTACATAGGACCATAGGCTCTCCTCATGCTGGTGCTTGGTGTTATCACATGGACTTCTATCCACATGCTCCTCTATACCCGAAAGTACCAGGCAGTTTCTTTGCTTGAAGTAACTGAACAGACGTGAAGGAAAGTGAGTCTGTGCTGGTGGGGAGAGGAGATATAACCAGACCTGTGACCTGCTCTGCTGGAGTGAAGCACATATTTTTTTATAGACAATCTATAGTGTATTTTGGTTATTTTTGTAAGGTTTATGTAAAAGTAAAATTTGATATGATGATTTAAGCTGGCCATACACTGCTTAGATTTTCAAAATAACTGTTGTACGAATGATCTTTCATTCAACTTTCTATTAGTTGATGGGGTCAAGTACGGCAATCGATTTCAACTGTAGTGATGAAGAAACTTGAAGGAGCAGGATGGAATTTTTTTCTCAAACAAACGAAATTCTAACAGTGAATGTGGTGTTTGTTCAGGAAACTTCATTCATTCCTAAATCAAATCGAATGTTAAAATCAAATGACATTTTGATTGACGCTCATCAAGTGTCTGATGGCATTATCTGGTGGTAATGAAATATCTTTCATATGAACGTTAATTCAGCTATCTACTAGTGTATGGCCAGTTATACTTTTTTGTTGCTCCATTTTTGTATTTCATATGCAAATTTGTGAATGTTCTCACTAGTAGCCATCAGTATTTCAGGGAATGTGGTTATCTTCCCTGAGATAAGATCAGTTAGATTTATAGAGACTGCATTCTTTGTAGTCTGTCAGATCTAAATCAATGGCTTGTAACAACGGAGAGGGACAGTAAAGCAAAAATTACTTAGCAGCAATGCTAAGTAATAAGCGCATGTCTTGAGGAAATATAACTGTTATATATATATATATATAGATTTCAGTTTACAAACCATACACGTGAAACAGTGTACAGTGATAAGACGATTTCCATTTATCTTATCGCATTAGCGTTTGAAAGTATATTTGCAGATTTGTAAAAGGTGTCCGTAAGGAGGGTGTTTAGCCTTCTCCAATATCTTTTGTTTTTAACGGCCTGTTGATGTGTAAGTCTCAGTAGACAGAGTTAAAGTGACACTAAGCTCAGGAGTTCAATCTTAAAAACACATTCAAGTACCTTAACTATTAACGAAAATGTTGCTTATTTGTGTATCACTCAGCCATAGACCCTCAAATCATCTGTGCATTTGTGCTTACACTGTCCTATTCTTTCTGGAGGGTTGCTACTTTTGTTCCCCATGGTCCCTATGTGTGTTGTAAAGTAGCCACCACTCCAGGCTCACTCCTGTGATGCACTACAATCTCAATACAAATTAGTAAACTAAATTTGTACTCTATGACGGGAGTGAGCTTTGAGCGGTGGCTACTTTACAACACGCACAGGGACCATGGGGAACAAAAGTAGCCACCCTCCAGAAGGAAGGACAGTGTCAGCATGAATTCAGAGATGATTTGAGGATCTACAGCTGAGTGATACACAAATAAGATACAGTTTTGTTAATAGTTAAGGAACTTGAATGCATTGTGTAAGGCTGTAAGACAGCTGGTAAGGGCTGGTAAGCTGCAACGTATGACATTTTAATCTTTAGGGTTTATAAATACTTTTAGCCTATAACATTCAGTACAACACCTTTCCACATTTAAATCAAATCTGAAGAGAAAAAAACACTGTCCATAAAAAAACATTTATGTTACTGAATTCACAAGGATTTTAAAGCAATTTCTCAAGTACCCAACAGTGAAAGAGAATATATTATGTTTCCACAGTTCTCTGTATGACAAAAATCAAAGCGATGATTTGTAGCATGAGATATTCTGCACAGTGCTGCTTAACAGGTTTTCAGTTATTGGGAGCTGGACAGAGAGACACACTGTCAATAGTGTGCTGCTGTTACTACTTAGGGGCTATTCTGGTCATACATATTGATATTTTCAGGCAGTTTAAACCACTTTCAAAACTCTGACACCGTTTTTATGATTAAAGTTGGTTGACATTGCTGTAAAATAGCCTGGTTCATGGTCAACATAATCATCTTCTTATATCTACATATTATGAAGAATCAGAAGAAAACGTGATAGTCTTATGAATTTCTTATACTCACCATTGTAAAGTGAGCTGTGTCTGTTTCTTTTTATCCTTAATAATCTGTGTGATTGATTTTTTTTGTGCTGCCTTATTGCAGATAGTTTTATTCTTCCTATAAATGATATCCAGGTCATCATCTTCTGATGAACACGTGTCATTCGACAGATGCATCTCTGAGTCAAGACAGCAAAAAACATAGGACATGTAAAATGTTGTTCCATGTATAGTCTTACCAATTTCTTCATACAGGTGAAAACATGTTTACTTCAGGCCCTCATTAAAATATTTAATATTTCCATTTTATTGATGTCGCAGAATGAGAATTATGTATGTATACTGTAAATCTACTGTATACTTTGCATACAAATGTGCAAAGGACAAAATGTGTCTGGTTTTAATCTTAATTAAGTTTTCTAAACATCTCCCAACTAAGTAAAGGAAACCTCTCCTGGGAGAAACCAAAGATTATCATTGCTTCTGTATCTGTCTTCAGTACTTTAGAACTGTACATTAGGAAAATCAAAGCTCCTAATCTTAGAACATACTGAAGCCATTGGATCATCATGACAGCCTGCAAATTAGTATATTCAGAAGGAAATATCAGCAATCCTCTAAGCTCCTTCACAACAGGTTTCTGTTAATTAATTATACCAAAAGACAATTATTATAGTATAATGTTGAACTCAGTTGCATATATATCTAAGCATTTATAGCATATTAAACCAGAAGTGCATGCATTCATTACAATGAGATGTGCTGGCAAAAGTACAACCTGCGTCAATGTATGCAGTGCTTTACACATTCACATCAGTCCCTGCCCTCGAGAAGCTAGCAATTTAAGGTGCCTAGCTCACATACACACATACTAGGGTCAATTTAGACTAGAGCCAGCATTTAACTGTTTGTCGCAAATATAGCACCTTAAGACAGAATTCAAAGAAAAGGTGATTGTCATCAGATACTTGCGTCTTAGATAAATCTTTAGAATTGGACAGCAAAAGAACACTGTAGATAACCCTTAGGTATGCTCTCATAGCACAAAACCAGTGGTTGACTTGGAACATTTAGGCAAGTTCTTTACTTCTCCATTGTCTGTGCAAAAATATGTTCTCATTAAATACAACTATGCTTCTAGGTACACACTATATAGTTTGGCAGCTATGTTCTAAGGGCACAAAACCATTGGTTGACTTCTCCATTATCGGTGCAATAATATGTTCTTCTCATGAAATACAACTATGCATCTAGATATATACCATATAACTTGACAGTTATGTCATTTGCTAATTGACTGCTGCCTTATATCCATGGACTTCTTTATATGTACACCCTTTAGTCAGGCTACAATGCAAGGACCAGTAAATAAAAGTGTTGTGACTAAGATGGTAATGAAAGATTAAGTCGCCTCTGGACACTATAGTGTTCATGATTACTTAGAGATACCAATATCTTAGAAAATCCCTGAAATAATTCAGCAACTACTGTTTTTTAAGAAGTAAAAGGAAAAAAATGTTCTCCAAAGTGTGTCCTACATCCTGAAACTGGTACACTCTGGATACCTTCTGGTGCAGACAACAGCTAAACAGGTAGATCACCCACTGCCAATCATTCTCTGTGAGAAATCTCTCTATATTTGACTAAATGTTATATATAGGAGTTCCTACCTGTTTTTATGCCAAGGCCAGCTGGAGATTCTTCCTCATCTGGGGTAAGCATTATTCCATCTCTTCTCTCTGTGCAGAGACTCTCCTGCGAATAAGCCATAAGCTCTTTCTCCACTATAGACCCATAGCAATCCGGTATCCTTGTGTTACTTTCTTTATGTGGCTCTCCAGTTTGGAATGGACAGTCTCCCTCTTGCGTCTCAGAAAACTGTTCAATTGGCATTATATAAATCTACAATTATTCCAGCTCATCAACTATTCAACAAACTAAAAAGTCAAAATCACAATTTCAGTCTAAATAGCATTCACACAACATCCCAAGGGTTATATGAAGGGAAAATGGAATGAAAGAAGACCATGTAAAAGTCCATGTGGAGCGTACTGCTTGTCTGGTCCTTCACGAGCTTCCTCCAATATTTGCTTCCAGGTCTGACAAATGCTGCTTTAAAAGCTTTGACATCACTGGCTATTTAAAAGTATAGCAAGAAGCACGCCCTGTTGTTGGCATATATCTCCTATCAAATGAAAGGCAGTTGTTCATCAACAGGTTGGTGCCTTGCATTCCAGGTGCTTTTATTTTGACAAAAAGTCACACAGGGGTAGAGATAATGACTCTGGATTTGACGTAGCCACAGTAAATTGGGTTATCTGTTGTCTCAAAAAGATAAAAAAAATGGTGGTGATCACATCAACTGTATTAATGATTAACAGGTTGAAACAATCCTGTCAGATTGTGTGAGCCGAAGGGATGTTTGTTTATTATGTGTTTCCATATCTAGAGCTGCATGACTGAGTCAAATATGTGGTCTTTACATCTTTGAGACAGGAAAAAAAAACAAAGGAAACTATGAAAAAGATTTGTATAGAAAACATTTAAAAAGATGAGTTTATCAATCTGTATCATAATATGATGATAACAATAAACACATTTGCTAAAATGATCAAAGCTATTTAATTTATGTAGATGTATAAATAATATATAATGAGGACTAATAAAATACTATGTAATATAATACGCGTATATAGGTATATGCAGATTAATCCGTGGAAGTAATTATAGTGGCCCACTTATAAAAATGGTAATTTCACCAATTTGTTTCTCTGAAATTTCAATTTGTAGCTATTTTTCTCCACTTTTTTCTCTTTTAGCTAATATTGTGAATTTTGTGAATTGCAGTTTTACAATTTCTCTGTGTTTATAAAGCAGTGAAAATGTTAACTCTCAAGATGAAATTAGCTATTTTTTCTACTATAAACTGGCACACATATTAAATGATAACAGCTAATAGGACAACATATGAGGTTATTTGTTTTGTCAAGTTTTCCCTGAATGTTTCAATAAATGGAAATTACAGCTGCAGATTTCATAGATTTTCTCTGGATTTCTTTCCAATTATTTAACTATTTCAGCGTAACAGATATATAAATCAGTACAAAACCACTGCCAAAAAGAATGAAAATCCTGTTAATATTAAAAGCTGTGCATAGAATATTTTTTTCCATAAACGGATCCCTTTTAAGTTATCTAAATTATACAGGCACAAAATGGGAAGGGGTATAAAATAAACATTTACTGAGATACATACTTTGTGCTGCATTGCTAAAAGAGAAACTGTTAGATCTTATTTAACATTTGCTTTCAGATGTTACAGGACAGGTTTACTTTAAAGTGACATTAAATTTAGGAGGTAAAGGAGAACTATGGGGCAACCTTTTTTGCCCATAGTTGTCCTCCGGGTCACGGGAGGACATATACTCCACCACTCAGTATATAGTGGGCAATTGCCCGCTATATGCTGAGAGCGCTGCAGCCGGGACCGATCCCGACATAGCTATAAAATGTAACTTATTAGTGTATCACTCAGCTGTAGATCAGTGCCAGCACAAATCATCTCTGAATTTGTGCTGGCACTGTCGTATTTCTTCTGGAGGGTGACTTCTTTTGTTGCCCAGGGTCCCTGTGTTGTTATAACATAGCCACCACTTCGTGATGAACTACAATCTCAGGTTTAGTGTACCGATACTGGTACTTCCGCTGTCATAGAGCCAGCTTCCCGGGCAATCAGGAAGCCGGGGCAGCGGGTAATGACATCCCGCCTGCTTCCTGATTGCCTGGGAAGCTGGCTCCATGTTGTTTGGCCGGCTCGATTGTGATTGGCCGGGAAACCAGCTTCCCAGCCAATCAGCATTGAGGCGGCTTCCTGGCCAATCAGTAAGCCGGCTTTCTGATTGGTCAAGGAAGATGGCTCGATGTTGATTGGCTTCCCACCCATTAAGGAAGCCGGGAGGTGGGTCATTACTCGCAGCCTGGCTTCCTGTTTGCCTGGGAAGCTGGCTCCATGTTCCCCCATGGGGAAGTTCCGGTGTCAGGGAAGGTATCTGAGTATCTGGGCGAGTATGAGTACTCGCCCAAATACTCGGTATCGGCACTGATACTGATACTAGTATCGGTATCGGTGCATCCCTACTAATTACTTTACTAATCACTTTATAACACACACAGAGACCATGGGGAACAAAAGTAGCCTCCCTCCAGAAGTAAGGGTAGTGTCAGCACCAATTCAGAGATGATTTGAGGATCTACAGCTGAGTGATACACAAATAAGATACATTTTTGTTAATGGTTAAGCTACTTGAATGCATTTTTAAGATTTAACTTAAGAGTGTCACTTTAAGTCTATGAGATGTTACAGCACAGGCACAAACAGTGCCATGCTGGATTTTGCTGGCTGGGAGGTAAACAATGCATCAGAAGTTAGTAAGCATATGGGTGAGGGCAGGGCCGGACTGGGACAAAAAATAGGCCCGGGCATTTTAGATGGAGCAGCCCAATCATGTGACCATGAAGCCCCACCCTAATTCAGGGGTGGGGCCAAACATGGAGGTGCACTCGAGGGGCGGGGCCAAACACTGAAGCACAATCGAGGGTCAGGGCCAGTTGCTGGTAAGTACAGGAGGGATACAGTTGACTCGATGGACGCAAGGATTAGTAACGCGCTGGACTCAGGCCTTGTTCACACCGAAAGATTGTGCGTTACAAAGTGGTAGCTGCTGGAACGCACCGCGATCACTGAGAAACTTCCCCCCGCGTTTTGGGGCAGGAGGGGGCGTGGTGGTGCATTGAATTCAACTTTGCCAGCGTTCCGTTCCACTGCAAACACAAAAAATAGAGCAAGCCCTATTTTTTGCATTTGCAGTGGAACGGAATGCTGGCAAAGCAGGCCATTGAATTCAATGCACCACCCCCCCTGGGAAGTTTCTCAGCGATCGCGGTGCGTTCCAGCAGCTACCACTCTGGAACACACACGCTGTCGGTGTGAACAAGGCCTTAGGGATTAGTGACGCGCTGGATGCAGGGATTAGTAACGCACTGGACTCAGGGATTAGTGACGAGCTGGCTGGACTCTGGGATTAGTGACGCACTGGATGCAGGGATTAGTGATGCGCTGGCTGGACTCAGGGATCAGTAACGCGCTGGCTGGACTCGGGGATCAGGGACACGCTGGCTGGACTCAGGGATCAGGAACGCGCTGGCTGGACTCAGGGATCAGTGACGCGCTGGCTGGACTCAGGGATCAGTGACGCGCTGGCTGGACTCAGGGATCAGAGACGCGCTGGCCGGACTCAGGGTTCAGTGACGCGCTGGCTGGACTCAGGGATTAGTGACGTTCTGGACTCAGGGATTAGTGACACACCGCCCCTGAGACTCCACAGAGCGCACCTGGGGCCCAGCCTCCTCTGCAGCCGGTCTGATGATGCTGGGGCCCAGCCACCTCCACCTCTTCCCCGGCGCCCCTTGTACGGCCGATACGCACGTAAGGGGCCCAGCTCACCTTCTCCTCCTGGACTCCGTTCTGTGTCTGTGTGTCTTTAACAGGACACACGCCGGTCCGCACAGTTCTCCCAGCTTGCTCGTCTGTCAGCTTGGGATGGGGCTGATCTCTGCTGTTCAGCCTGGCCGAGTGGCCACTCTGTGCTCCTGATAAACGGAGCACAAAGCCGGCCATCGGGCATAGCGGACCGGCCACTACACAATCAGGTTGATTGTGTTCAGCCCGGCCTGGCCCACCGGGCAAGTGCCCGGTTTGCCCTATGGCCAGTCTGGCCCTGGGTGAGGGGTTTCAGCACTAAATAGTTTAGGGGGGTGGGGGGTAAAATATTACATAAATGTGCATTTGTCCTTTAACTAATGTTATGCTGGAGTTTACCTTTGAGTCAAATAGAAAAAAGTAGAGATACCTATAGTGGCTAATCAGTCATGATCCGGAATTTTGGTTGGTTTTTATGAGCAAGAAATCACTTTCACGTTCAGTTAAAAATATCTTTTTTTTTGTATGATTGTACTGATAAATATACATCTCAACCAAACAAATATGTCTATGCTTACAATTTTTGTTTCACATTAGATTTTTCAAGCAAACCAATCCTGCTAATCCTGCCATTAACATCTCAACAATAATCAGAAGCAATGCTCAACCATTCCTAAACTTCTAAAAAGATATGGGGAAGAGCAAGAGATCAGAAACACTGACAGATATTTCCCCACCTGTCCTTCTCAGCGGAATACTTGGTCATCTTCGGTCAGCTGTATTCCTTTATGACTTCAGGTGGCCATGTTTAAGGACTACACATATAGTTTACATTGTATGGCTCTAGCTTAAAGAGGAACTTTACCCATATCTTTAAAATAACAACAAACACACCTTTAGAAATGTTTGGTAATGGCAATCTACAAACAGATACTTCTAATTAACTGCAGGCTTTGTATTCTTTGCATACCTTATATCTCTTTTCTTTCCCAGTCTTCTGACAGTGGCCATGTAAACTAAGGGCATTTTACTAGCTCTCCCTTTACTTCCTGGAACTCTGGCACATGTGACTAGGACATGTGACCATGCACATCATCTCAGGGGAGGAAAATGCCTTTCCCTGAGATCTCATGAGATTACAGATGCGATTTCCCAGCAATGCTCTGCTGATGTAACCTTCTCAGGATGCAATGCTTTGACACATTACATCATTTGTGCTAGAGTTGGACCAGGAAGTAGATAAACTCTATTTGTTTGTAAATGAAAAGCAAGTTTGTTTAACTAATAGATGTAAGATGATTTTAAATCAGCATGCAGAGCTGCATGCTGATGTGAGTTTTAGTGTAGGGGTGTAAAGGTCCACGTTAAGTAAAAGCAGTAAATTCAAAGACTTAGCACAGAATAAAGAACCTGAGAATCTGTTTCATATACATTTTATTAAACAACATAATAACATTGATGTGCTAAAAGATATTTTCATATAAACAGCATAATATCATTTCCAAAAATCCAGGCAAGCAGTTACAGTAATTACTTCAACATACATTTTGCTCACTGTTTACCAAAAATGATACCATTTAATGCAATTACCACTAATAAAAAACTGTAAATTAAACACTGAAACTGAGCACCATAAATCAATAAAATATGATGAGACAGGATTTGTCCATCCAGGGACTATTCCAAGACTATTTATTTATTTTTTGCCTTTAAAAGAGAACTATGGGGTCAGTGTTTTTCCCCATAGTTCTCTTAAGGGTCACAGGAGCACATAAACTAGCAACCTCCCGTGACCCAAAGCTCAGTATATCGCGAGCTACAGCTCGCGGTATACTGAGACCGCCGCAGCCGGGACGGATCCCGACATTACTCTCGAGATCCACCCAGCTGCGTGAGTGACAGCTGGCTCTGCCTATACAAATTATTTCCTTGAGATCTCATGAGATTTTGAAGTTACAAAGGAAATTTCCCAGCAATGCACTGCTGATGTAACCTTCCCAGGATGCATCTCTTAGGCCTAGATTAAATCACTAATGCCTAAGAGGAGCAGGAAGGGGAAAAGCAGTAATTGTAAGTAAACTGAAAATATGTTTGTTTAACTATTGAATGTAAGACAGTTTTATATCATGCAGAGCTGTGTGCTGAGGTGTTTCTTAGTGAAAGGAGGTAAAGGTCTTTAATTTGATTTTAACCTCTTTTAATCCTCTGTGCAGAAGAGGAGAGAGCAGAGAGATGACCTCGTCAGTCTGTTGCTACTCCTTTACTGCCAGGTTGAGGTCAGGGTAGTAACCTAGTTGTGTTGCTTAACCTACTCCTGCTGAATTGGCCAAAATTCAAGCTGTGGGTGGCCCTGTTGGTGCCCCCTGCTTGACAAAAAATTACTTTTCTTCTACTTTTGTTGAAAGAGCCAGTCTAAAAATTCTCAGTTGAACAGTACTAGCATTCAAACAGATGCAGGCATTGTTCAGGTATGCAGCTGGCAGCAGGGATTTAGAATGGATGGGGGAATTGATGGTTTGCTCTCTTTTGTGACTGACACACATGCACTATCCCCTTCTAGGCAATAAAGGTAGGTCTGTCAACGGAAGAGGGCTGAGCTTGAGTCCCAATACAAGGGTTGTACACTCCAAGGCAACACCATTTAAAAACATCATAGATGAATGCTGTATGTACGGTAGCTTCGGCTACATACAGTATACCGCGCTGAGCCAATCACGGCGAGCGTTGTATTCTATTAATGAATACAAAGCCTGCTTGGATAGGCAGAGGTTGTGTGCATCGCTCGCCCTAATTGGCTCAGCGTTGTATACTGTATAAGACGACCCCCGATTTTCGGGGGATGTTTTTAAGTATAAAAAGTAGTCTTATACGCCAGCAAATACAGTAATTAGGAGGGAAACTATGACAAAGGCAGTTTAGGAGAAGTGTATATGCAGACACTCCTTACTTGAATCTAATACTCTCATTTATTTTGTAGCCAAACTGTATAGCCACCATTTTCTACTCAGTATTAACTGTAACACAAAACACAGAACTTGATATCAGTTGATGTAGTCAAGAGAGAGGATTACAGGTTTGTCTTGTTGTACAAGAATTGGCCCATATTTAATGTTACCGTCCTCACTTTATATTGGAGAAAGGATCTGTATATGCTAAGTGATCTTAGATTTCATAAAGGTCTGTCAACTACTATAAATACTTTAGTCCCAATGTCCTTAAATATACAGTGATTTTTTTATGCATTTTCTTTCTTACTAAAAAATAAACAAAATTTTAAAAAAGCTTTCTCTTTTGCCACTCCATAATAGCACTTCTTGCTATTATTAAATTTTTATTTTTAAAAATAAAAATAAATATATATATATATTTTTCCATTGCTCCCTATTTTTCTCACAGTGGTCATATTTACTAAGGGCAGATAACTTTACTTTATGGAACTCTGGCACATGTGACTAGGACATGTGACCATGCACATCATCTCAGGGGGATAAAAATGCTTTTCCCTGAGATCTCACAAGATTATGAAGTTTACATATGAGATTTCCCAGCAATGCTCTGCTGATGTAACCTTCCCTAGAGACATCTCTTAGGCATAGGCTACATCACTAATGCATAAGAAGACCAGGAACTGGAAAAGCAGTAATTGTAAGTAAAATAACTATATGTTTATTTAACTAATGAATGTAAGATGATTTCATGTCAGCACACAGAACTACATGCTGATGTGATTTTTAGTGAAGGGGGATAAAGGTCCACTTTAAGGCATACAAAAGTCTACTGGCTGCACTAGAAAATTGTGCATAATTTTCCATTGTTAACCAGCGATAAACAAACAAAAAAAGCAGACAGGTCTATGATATGCACATTAAATATACAAAGAATCTTTCAGTGGTTGGGTCAGTTTAGTTACAGATAACTGTAACTAAACTGACCCAACTAACTTTTTTACTAACTTTAAAAGATAATTATATGTGTCTTTCATCAATAAAAGATAATTATATGTGTGAAGACATCTTTCACAAATATTATATTTCACTAAGAAAGTGGCAACTAACAGCTCTTATGTCTCTTTCTTATCACTTGAACAGCTTCAATATCTTGTTTGGTTTTGGTAAAGGGAGCCTCTTTATCTGGGGGTTTTTGACAAACTGAGAACACGCTCCTTTTAGCCCTATAGAACATAAAGGTACTCTGCAGATACTTCTCTCTGTTACAGGAGGCTCGTTTGAAAATGACTATGTAACATACTGGTAAAATGTGGCAAGAAATCATCCCATAGATGGAGGCCAGTATGGCAAGAGCTTGTACAGCAGACGGATACACACCACTGCTAATGTTCACATAGATAGGGATGAAGAGAAGCCAAACAAACATGTAGACAAGCATGCTGAATGTGATACATCGGGCTTCATTGTATTTCTCTGGTAGTTTTCTACCTTTGTAAGCTAAAAGGAAACAAACTAATGCAAGTAATCCAATGTAACCTAACATAATGCCAAATGCCACATATGACCCTTCATCACAAAGAAAGATAATATGTTCAGGTATGTTGTATATGTCAATAAAATAGGGACCCTTCAGAACAAGCCAGATTATACAGATAGAGATTTGGATGCCAGTTAGTGTGCTGACAATCATGATAGGTTGGTAAGTTAATGTTACTAACTTTTTTCCTCTTGAGGCTGACTCAAATGCTAAAAGAATTCTCATGGATTTGATTAAAATACAAGATACAGAGACAGTGAAGCTGATGCCATAGAGTGGTTGTCTGATCTTACAGACTGTGTTGTTAGGTTCTCCGATGAAAAACCCAATGCTTGCCAAGCTACATAATAATGATATCATGAATAAATACGTGTAATGGCCCCCAGCAGCTTTGACAGCTGGAGTATCACCATTTTTCATGAACAAACACATTGATAACAGCACAACCAAAGCTCCAACAGCAGCAAATGTCACTAGAGTTATAGCAAATGGATCATTCCACTTGAAGTATTCAATTGTTCTATTTTCACAATGAGAGCTTCCATTTTTCGACCATTGGTTGAGAGTGCACTTCTGACATTCAGTCATATCTGTAAAACCAAAATACACTATCAATTTTTACATAGTACATGGGCTACTTTTCATATTTGATGCAGTTTTAGGATGTTTAGGGATGCTCATTTAAATTTTTTTTTAGAATTATGCCCAATACTAGCCCAAGCTTGCTTTCTTTCTTAGTTTTGTCATTCCCATTCCCCAGTTTTTTCTTGAGTTAGACTTTAACACCTTCCTCCTGGCATCACATATATATGTGGCTTACATGGAGGTAGGCTTTCTTCTGTGGTGCTGCATAGACAGATAATGTTTTTGTGCATGTTTTAGTACTGGGACCCACCTGACCTCGACAGTTCCATGTCTCGGACCAATAATCTGGAATTAGGACTGTGATAGAATATTACAGTAATCACTAGGTTTACAACCTCCCCTGTACTGTGTCTTCTCTGTGAGGAGAAAAAGATACATTGGGATACAGAATCTGAAGCAGTTGCCCATGGCAACCAATCAGCTTCCACCTTTAGTTTGCTCAGTTAAGCTTTGAAAATAAAAGAGAGATGCTGATTGGTTACCATGGGATAAAATCCCCCATTGTATCCTGTCTCCTTGCTAGAGGAGAAGTCTGCAAAAAAAAAGTCTGTATAAAAGAACAAAAAAAACCAAAGATAATATAGTTAGATCAGGGCTTGATCTAGATGAGTTTTATTTTCAGTGTAAGCATCAGTGTCAGTGTGTTTAGGTAGAATAAAAATAAGCAAAATGTGCCCTACAAACAACAAATAATGCACACCTATTTGGTATCCCCATGAATGTAATTGCAAACGTTGCATTGTTCTTTGATGGTGCGTCATAGTAATGGCAAGAAATATAGAGCTACAATTTAAAAAATTGGGCCAGTTTTCTTTTGATAATAAAAAAAAATCAGAAGAAATCCATTTACCACCAAATGAAGGCCCTATTCGTTCAAAACAAGGTATAAGTTAGCTGGATACACTATGTAGTTGCAAAGATATGAAAAGCTTTATTAACACATGGCAAAGTTGCAAAAATGATTTAAGGCATTAAAATTTGTTTTACCTTCATAAAGGAATTACATTTATAAAACCAAGCAGGACAGGAACTTGGAGTACAGTGATCTGAATCAGCTTATCATCACATATGCAAGCATGTTTTATGCTAAGTCTACTTGAAACTGGCTTCTTATAATGCTCAGATCACCTGGTGGTAAAATCTCTCTGTTGGAGTTTCTGGTTCAGTTCTTCCACTATTACCATTAAATTCCAAGTAATAGCATACCACCTTGCTTTTTCAATTTAAATTCATGAGCAAATGGCGGAGTCAAGTCACTCCTTTGTAATGGTCACTCCGCCGCAATGGCCTTGGGAGAAGTAAAGAACAAAAATTGTGAAAGACCTTGAGAGATATTAAAATGTTTAATAACATATACTTAGAAACTTGTGTTTCTAATGCTTAGGTCTTCATATCCAGATGAACATAATCAATGCCATTCAAGCACCAATCATGATTTCTTCTCATTTGAGGAGTGATTTAAGATCGGTAAACCCCTGCTCCTAAATTGTCCCCATAACACTGCTTTCCACTTGCATGGGCTTTTCTCTTCTGCGTCGCTGTCACTCTCTACTCAATGAGCCGTATTAAGTGTCTCTATTGGTAGTGATTACTGGCTGAAGGGAAGTGCAATGATACAGATCTGTAGGTCCAAATGTTGGGCAGCAGGGGAAAGGGGAAATAAGTCCAGCAGTGGAGTCTGTCTTAGCATCTGTTCCTATTTAGTGCACTGCACAACTTCATACGTATTTTCAGTATTTTTTTATGGTGCGTGTTAAGCCACCCCTCTTAAACTCTTTAGCCAGTCCTCGTCACCCTATAAAATGTTCGCCCAGGTTGAGATCTCTGTATGAATTTTCATCAAGGGTTTCTTACCAAATAGATTTACCAAAAATGCACATACTTGCTTCGGTGTACACTGCAGGTAAATATTTTGACATAGAGGCATGAAGTCGTTAACCATATGAATTACATTTATGTAAATTGTACACTTATTAACACAGCTATAGTTTGCTAGTGTGAATATATATATATTTGTAATTCTTTCTCTACAGTTCACTTTTAATAAATAATTATTTGCAAAGTGAAAAAGTCCTTGTTTCCTCTAATTTTAAGACTTGCATAAAATACAAATGAGAATATGCAATACATATCATCATTTCAGCTAGTGACAGGCAGTAAGTAAAAGGTTTTTAATAATTCAAAATCAGTGAATTACTTATTGCTGCTACTAACTACAGCACCAAAGAATGCGTAAGCAGACTAAACAATTTTGTGTTTTTTTGGTGGACAAAGCACTATTTATTAATACAAACATGTGGATTATGATTGCAAACATTGCTCTGGTTCTGCTAGGAAAACCAAACTGTATAAAACACTTACCTGCATTAGGTGAATAATAATTCTCAGTGCACGCAACACATTCATTACAGCAGCTTATATAAGAGTACTTTCTGTAATATCCAGGAAGGCATGATTTTGAGCAATTAGAGAAAGGAACCTGTACCAGAAAAAAATATATATGTTGAGGTAATTACACTAAGGTTTATTCCTTACACTATTTTAGGGTAGTAGGCAACAGCATGGAAATAATTCTACAGTACAGCCTAATAATATAGAGTCATCTATTGTTAATGCTGCTGTAAAAAAAGAATAAGCACCACACATTTTTAAAGCTCTTCAAGTATGTTCTGCGCTCCACTGGCTTTGGGACTCTGAAGTCAGAGAAGAGCCTTGTCATGTTACCTGTCAAAGTCACATGGCAAGGCTTTAATCCTAAAGCTCTCACTGCTCCATTGATCAGAAAGAACTTTGTGGGGCCAATGATGACTACACATCACAACCCGAGTCTTACTAATGAGATTATGGACAGTGGGTAGCAATATTCGTTCTCTGTTATAAATGAACCCTATTGTGAAAGCTGCAGTTCATTTTGTGAAGTTGCTTGGTGACTTACCTGATTTTGGTCTGTGTTCCACAGAAGTAGACTCCTGTTTATAATGACACTGCCATTCAATGTGGTATATTCACCAATAATCCTAACTTCTTTGGTCTGGTTTACTGATTGCCAGGTCAGCACATCATAACCGATTAATAAATCACCAGAAGAGTCAAACTTAAAAGTGTCTCCATTGTATGAGAAATTATTATTTTTTAGTTCTTCAAGTAGCTACAAAAAAATAAATGTAAAGCCTTATTTAAAAATGACACCATTTCACATATAAATCTCATAAGAACAGTAAATTCCTGATAACATCAATCTGTTGTAAATTATAATTAAATATACTAAAGCAGTTTTGAGAAAGTACCAGATTAAGAGTACCTGCACACCAATGAGTGGACTGCTCTTTATCTCTTTTACATTTTATCACACCTGATGTGATTTACTGTATAGCTGTTTATTATTTACTGTGAATGCAGGTTAATAGTTTTGGATCAATTAATTTTTTTTTAGTTTCTACATTTTAAACTGATGCATTTAATGCATGACAAAAGATCCCCAGAACACTATGGATTAGCTAAAAGGAAAGCACAGCAGAAGTACTTTCCTTTCAGGTACGCTGTCTCTCATTGACACCTTGGACTAAGCTTGACCTGCTGGCTAAATATAAACATATCAAATATATTACTATGCAATTATCACTGTGCCAAATTCCCATCCCATTTCCCCAGGAAGGTGTACTCATATACTCTGCTGCAGGAGTCCACCATAGATAACCAGCAGTCTTCAAAAATGAAAATCATATTCAGCCTTTGGGAAGAAATTTGCCTTCACTTCAATTGGTGTCTATGTGCGATATCTACTCAGTATGGCATATTGACAACTGTTGAGTGTTTTTTTAAATGCATAGGTGCTTGCAGATTAGGACAAGAGATAAGAAATTAGTTTTTAATATTCACTTGAAGATCATAGGTATGTATTTTTATGAGTAAAATAAACTAAAGCCTGATTTTACAGTAAATAATTAGAAAGGGTCAGATTTATAAATCCTCTTGAATCAGATCACCAGTAATATAGAATTATTATTATTATTATTCAGAATGTATATTAACAGTCTGTGCAGCGCTTTACAATATGAGGAAGACATTACAGTTACAATACGATTGAAGACAAGATGGTTAGGAGGGTCCTGCACATGAGGGCTTACAATCTAAAAGGGAGGGGCAAGTGATAAAAAGGTGGTAGCTGTGTGGGGAGTTGTTTGAGAAATGAATAGCTCAGTTGCTAGGCAAAGGTGGGATAGACTTTCCTAAAGAGATGAGTTTTCAGGGATTGCCTAAGTAGGAGTAGGAGAAGGAGTAGAAGCTATCTCCTAAAGTAGGAGATAGCTGGACAGGTTGGGGTAGGGAGTTCCAGAGGATGGGATAGGCTCCAGAAATAATATCATACCTACAGTTTATGTGCCAATAAATATTTCTATAAAAAGGAGAGTTTTCTTTACCTGAGTTGGTGAGAAGTTGGTATCATTTATACATTTCCCACTTTTGCATAGAAGGTTATTGCAAGCCTGTGCTATGGCTAGAACGGCAAGGTATGTGCTGTATGTTTTGCTCCATTCAATATTTTCTGCCAAGTAGTTATCATTTAAAAAAGGCAAATACCCTTCTTGACATGCGAGAGGTGACTTCATAATTAAAGAGTCATCTAAGGTGCAGTTTTTTGATGAATTAATGCACTCAAGATACTCCCTAAAAGTTTGAGTGCAATTGTATCTTAACTGTTGGTATTCTTCTAGAAAATGATTCACTGTGCCTTGTCCTGGTGGTTGGAGATTTCTTAGATAGTCTTCAAATCCTTTCACATAGCCCATTTTAAAGTTAATTCCAACAACTGTACCAACCTTTTCAATGTCTTCAGTGCTCAAAACTTCCAAAGAATTGGACCAGCTATCACTCGCTATCCAGATTTTGGAAATATTAGCTTTAATGCATGCTTTAAGGAGTTTACTAACAATAGGACCCTTTGCAATGACAACCACAACATTTGTTGTACTTGCTCCTAATTCCTCAATTACGGTGTTTATGGAACTCTGCAAAGATGGGTGATCCACATATGACGACACTATTTTGGAGAAAGCTGTGCATATCTCGTTGTTTTTAAATAGATCATTTAGAAGGTCCAGAGCAGATCGTCCATATTCATCATCACTAGAAACAATTCCAACCCAGTTCCACTGAAAGGTTTTGATCAGTTCCACAATTGCTTTTGTTTGGAATGTATCACTTGGAACTGTGCGTAAAAAGGAGGGGAATCTAATTTTATCACTCAGCGTAGAAGCAGATGATGCAGGACTTATCTGTATAAAGAAAACCATTACATGAAATATTAGATGTCTAATGTAAAACATTTATTTAGTAAAGTAAATAAAAAAGTAGTAAGTAGTAGTAAGTAGCGTCCAGAAAAGCTGTTTATTTTATAGTTAACTTATGTGTAGCATTTTTGCATTATGTTAGAAGTGGGTTGATACTGGCTAGACCACATTCAAGAGACCACATTTTTTCTGTGTTCTTGTGAAATAAGTGTGCCCTAGATATTTGGTCATGTATAATAAGCAGTGTTTTGTTTATTGGTCTATAACCATGAGAGATTTATGATTAATGTAATGGAGAGTTTTATGATACATGATTTGGTTTACACATAAATTGGTTTACTTGAAAAATGTTTAATGCCACCTTCCTCACAGCATATATTTACCTTTTTACTCCTCCATTATGCTATTGACCTGCTGGTAACAAGGAAAGAAAGCCCTGTATAAGCTTTAAGTTGCAGCTTACACAGGACTGAGGGTAAATTCCATACCCATACGTGACACTGCTTGGCCAAGCACCAGCGCTGTTACATGGGAACAAGGGAAATGAGTCCATGAAACCAAGTGGCTGCTCCCAACAGCCACCTAGTATGGACTCTCAGTGGCTAAATGGAACAGTGGGGAGGAAAGAAAATGTAATTTTATACTGCTGGGGAGGACAATAAAGCATACCGGTAGCTTAGTTCTGCATGAGCAAAGCACAGGTCTGCTTTAGGCCAGTTTGGCAGAATAGTGTTGTGGTGACAATTGCATTTAAACACGCTGCATGGACTGGGGTACTTTACACCTCGGCACACCTGCATTGCAGGATACTAAAGTGTAATAATGTAATCCATGCGCTGTACTGAGAAAAAAAAAATCATGCAGATGGGTTTTATGGTCTGTTGTAGTACATTAGCCATCTATTCAAATGATTGCACTGCCTTAAAATATTGGACGTTAACAAATCCCATAACACTCCTTAACATACGGAATCACACTGCACTAGTGTGAATGTAGCCTTAAAGTATAAACGCACTTTCACTGAATATATATATGCACTTGTGCTTGTCCCTGCATTGCCAAAAATAGCAATATGATGTGTTACAATAATTAAAAATAAATCCAGTATCCAGCTGTAAACAAGCTGTACATGGCCACCATTAGAGAGTGTTGTTTGAAGTCTAGAAATCTAGAAAAGTTTTGGCTTTAGCTATGCTTTAAGTTTTACACATTAAAAAGAAATTTGCAAATCACAGATATCTGCTTCAGGGATTCAGACTTGAACTCAGACATGAGGACAGCCCTGAGACAAGAACCACCCCATAGACCCTAAAAGACTGAGATTTCATATCAAGGACCATTAGATCCATAGAGACCGCTTTTATGTCTTGCCTCCTGTCACACACATCTGACCTCTGTGCCAGGTTTTCCCTTTGCCCTGTTTCCATGCCAGATTTTCTCCTCTGTCCTAGGTTCTTGGCTGTGGGCCTATGGGACGTTGCAAGGCTGCAGCCAATCTGTTCTTCCCCTTCCCTATTTAGGCTCAGTTCACCTGTTGCTCAGCGTTCAAGCAATGAGTCTGTTTCCTGCTGCTGGACCCTCCTATGTGCTTTGTGATTTCCCATGAAGTTTCTGTAGATATTCTATGATGATCCCTTATTCCCCTGGACTCCTTGTGTACCCCTGGGAATTCCCTGCTTCACAGTTTACCCTCCTTGCTGTTCTCTGTGTCTCTGTTTGCTCTTAGGCCCTAGTATTTAATTGTGATAGTCGCTTTGCATTCATCTGGGTGGTGTGAGTAGCCTGAACTGCCTGATTGTTATTTGCTAGGTGCTCCCTCACTTCACTGCCTGTGTCTTCTTTACCTTGTTACCCTGCTCCTTCTGAGTCTCAGCCTGCATTGTGTTCTGCAGTGCTGCAGTGTTCCCATGCTCCCCTGTGTACCAGTTTTCACACACTCCTCTTGAGTTCCTTTTCCTGTGTTGGGCTTCAGTACTATTATTCTACACTATCTCACTCCCAGTGTAACACCTCCTGTGTGCCTTCAGTCTTCCTTGTGTGCATTTCTCGATTACTGTAGTGTAACGCATGGTCCTTGTGCATATCTATGTCTCCGCCCTGTATCCTTGCGCATGTACACTCCTTGTGAGTACTGCCTTGTAACCTTGCAACCTAGGAGCTGCTTTGCAGTGCAACATCCTCACCAGCAGAGGCTCTGGAGAAGACCAGGCTCTCCTTAGACCATACGCCTCTGGCACACCCATGTTTCTTGTGCAGAGCCTCCTGTGAGAGCCTGCTGCTTTGGGAAAAGGCTGTGCGCTGACAGAACACTAAAAATGTGCATGTACTGTCTGTTTGTTTTGAAGAACCCATTACAGAACACCTTCATATTCAGAAGCTGACCTTGGTCTAGATTTTAGTCGGGACAAGCAGATGTTTTGTTTGTTTTTTGCCATAGACTTGCTGTACAAAGCCTTCCTGCAGTGACAACTGTGTTTCTTTGCTACCTTGATGAATTAAGTGCAGGACAAATCTTCTTGGATTGTTTCCCTGTCTCATTAATATATATCCACATATATAAAACAACTGTGACAATCCTATTATCAAACAGATAGTTAAAATGATTTATACCTGTGGTATGATGTAATTTCCAAGGAGTCTAGAAACGGCAATAGAAATTTCTGAGTATGTTTCTCCGACAACAGCTCTGACAGGATAAACAGTTGGCCTTGAGCTGCACTCTGTAATATTGTTAACATCAGACTCCGGAATTAATTTTAATGCCGAGTGAACTGCTTTCAAGGTGTGAGAACACGTATCAAATATTTTATAGCCCATTGTTATTCCTTGTAAAAGAGTTGAATTATTAATTGTCTCAATTGCATAGATCATAGAAAGAGCTTCAATCATACTCCGTGTTTGTAAACTAAAAGGAAAAATATTATTATTAATATTATTATTATTAAAGTAGATAACTGCAAAACAATGCTAACTATAACAGAGTTAGTCTTGGAACTCAATACAAACTTGGAAGTTGTCTTGGAACTCAATAAAAAGCATACATAAAACCCTCTAAATGTGCTAGTTTCATGGAAACACATCTATTGAGGCAAGGTTCAGATATTGGCGATCCCGGGACACGCGTCCGGGGACCGTGCGATCGTGCACAATTGCACACGTTGATTGCTGCATGGTCCCATTGATTTCAATGAGGTTATGTAATGGTACAAGTAACTGCACTTTTTTTGAACCGTGATTGTGCGCGATTGCATGGCCAGTATCACAGCAGGAAACCGTGCAATCTGCCTGGTGCGACTGGGGTGCCATTAGAAAATAATAGCACTGCCACCACGATCGGTGGTGTGCGATTCCATGGCCGGGCGGCTATCCGCGCACAATTGCCCCATGGTGAGATTTCCTCTCACTTTCAGTCAAAACAGAAGTTAGAAAAAATGTTCCAATGGGGCCACAGACATAAACAAAAACACATTTTTAGTAGAGTGAGGAAGAGTTAGATCTTTTACCAATGGTTTTATTGTTGTCAAAGCCCTCATACCCAGGTGAGAACCACCCGTTTCATCTACAGGCATCACAGGCACAGAAAATTTGGTAAATTGGCCACTGTGTGGTGAGAGATACAAAATTTACTTTTACCCCATTCTATCCATATCCATTCTATCCACAGCTGTTTTTATTATTGTATTAATTTTTTTTTTTATTTTGTCTGTAGTTAGGCTTTAGTAAACAACTGGGAAGCAGCACAAATTGGGGAAAACTAACACAAGAAAAAAAAAATATCCCAGATGTAAGAAGACAGTAAAAACAATATTAACCCGTTTCAGAGGACAAAATCCATTTTTTTTTAGCAGAAGATGTAAATCACACATTTAGCCCTAGTAAATATATTGCATGAGAAGACCCACAATACCTGAAAATACCCTTACAATGATGTATTGGTAGGGATTGTATGTTTATCCAGGTGAAGAGACTGGGTGTGCCACACACAGCCAAAAAAAGTGTGTAGTTTGCCCTGTCCTTTTCCTCCACTCTTCTCGGCAGTCAAATTTACAGCAGAGAGTTGCTACATAAATACAGCAGCTGTAAAAGCTGCTGCTGCCAAAAACAGACCTCGGACACAGTGTTTATAAAAACTTTTCATTATTCACACATAGAGAGAAGAGGTCAAATTTATACTTTTGTTATTTGCTCTTTTTATTCATCTTCAGATCAAAGTGGATGACCTTCAACCTGCATTTGATGTCAAAGCAACCTGACAAAAAAAAAAGGGTTTTGAAAAAAAGAAAATCTATTTGTCAACTTATTAAACCTTAATTTACTCTAATTAGCCCTGCCTAACTCCTTTATTGTTTTTTCCCGTTAAATATATGTTTCCTGCCAATTTGTTTTATTTATTTCTGTTTTTCTAACCATTAATATATATATTTTTAAATCAGTTTTGTTTGTTCATTTTGTAAGTGTGGCATTCACAAAAGTGCAAAGTTGAAAGAAAAACTTTTATTTAATTTTTAAATAACTTTGCAATGCTTTGTACCAGAATTATAAATGTAGTGTCATTATAAACAGGACATATAGTAACAAAACATTTTTTTAAACTAAGACTGATCATATCAGAAAAATAGTGCATTTTGTTTAGTCGTGTTCATTTTTGTCCATGAGCTGCATAAAAATGTAAACAATTTTTGCAAAACATTGTCACCAAAAGAAAACCTTGTTTTTTCTAAGAAATGACATATGTATTATTTTGTTATCCTTTCACAGCCAAATTGGGATAACACCTATTTTATATTTGTTACATGTTCCCATTCATATAGCATAAGCTAAACCATTAAAAAAAAAATGCTTCTTGCAGTTTAAATTGTTTTTACTTGGGTTAGGGTTTTAAGGGACAAAATGTCTTTGTGCTTCTATTTCTTTCAAATATATGGAGGAGCTGGTCCTGTCCATTGAGAGGTGGCTTGTCCATTGTATGTTAAAGTAAAACTATGGGGTCTATTCACGAAGCTGCCGAAGGATCTGGCCGTAGCTTCGGCCGACGAACAGACGGGGGAGGGGGTTGCTTCAGCTGGCTCTGCCTCTAGATAGGCAGAACCAGCTATCACTCACACAGCTGGGCGGATCCAAACATAATTGTCAAGGTCCACTTCAGCTGCGGCGTCTCAGTATACCGCAAGCTGCAGCTCGCGGTATACTGAGCCTAGGGTGACGGGAGGATGCTAGTTTGTTTCCTCCCGTTACCCTAATGAGAACTATTGGGAAAAGCCCTAACCCCATAGTTCTCCTTTAATGAAGCTTATCAGATAAACACAATCCTTAAGTTTCAGTCACAAGACTTTCCATTGGGACAGACCACTGTGAAAGGGCTGAGAAAAACCTTGAATCTGCTATCTTGCCTGATTCAACAAAACATCTCAAAGGTAATTTTTAAAGTCATTTTTCAGTATGCTGTGTGAACAGGAACGCATAACAAACATATGGAGGGGTTTTCCTAAATTTGACTGCAAAAGTGGAAATACACTTTAAGTAATGACCAAGTTATTGCTAAATAAACAGGTCCATTTCAGAAATGTAAACATTGCTCTCGTCCATAGGGGGTGTACAGATTTGAAAGCTGAATTGGTTAAATTATTCTAAGATCCTATGCCCCTCCCATGCTGGGAAGTTCACCAGCAATGACCCAGACAAAAATAATCCTTTAGATTAGGGGAGTTAACAACTCCATTTTGTAAGATAAGTGATTGTGTTTAAGCCTAAAAAGGAGGTCATAAGTGGTGTAGAACTGTGGTGTGAGTGAGTTAAGCTGGCTATACACAGCCAGGTGAAAACTATCAGCCAAACAGCAACTGCATTCAATCAGATGAGGTCACTGTTCAGGTTTTCAGACAGCTACAGGTGTTAGCTGTCTGAATACAATAGTTTGGAGGGAAAAATCCTCCATCTTTGTTTTTTAGCGTGGATGAGGGAATCTAGTGACTTCTCTTGTTCAGCCCATGATGCTGAATAAGATAAATCTAGCCTTGTATCTAACCAAGTAAGGGTTCAGATTATTAAAAGAATCAACAAGTTACTGAATAGGAATAGGCCAGGAGAAGCAAAAATTGTTGATAAATCTGGGTATATTTACTAATTATGACTTTGACCAACATGCCTCAAAGAGTTTAAAGTGACATTAAACCCTCAGATTTTTTAACATAAACCAATACTGTAATGTGTGCCTTACTGTAATCCATGGTAGTTTCCCTTCTCTTTGCTGCTCTTCCTTTTAAATCCTCATGTCTTCTCATGCTGGGGGAGAACTTCCCTTTGCAGCTGAGTGCCTCTTCCTGTAGTGCTGGCTCAGGTTGCAAACCTACACACAAACACCATGTATCCATTTCAGAGACAAGGCAGTCTGCTGCAAGACAGAAGTTCTGCCCAGCATGAGAAGATATGAGGATTTAGAAGGAAGAGCAGCAAAGAGAAGGGAAACTACCATGGATTACAGTAAGGCGCACATTACAGTATTGTTTTATGTTAAAAAATCTGAGGGTTTAATGTCACTTTAATATGTATGGTATGAAAAACCCAATTTTGCTCAAATATTCCACTAAGCATATTTGATATATAATGCGTTTCTGTTGATCCTATTCAAATCAGTTTTGGATTGTTCTGCAGTCAACAATAAACACCTGAATTAGCTATGTTATCTTTTATGTGACTCAAAAAGCAAACCATGCCTAAACTGGATATTCTGTGATTAAGTCTGCAAGAATTCTGAACTGAAATGTTCTCTGTAACAGGATGTCAGGCAGCTGTTTACTTATAAACCTTCGACTCAAGCCTTTGACTCAAACTCAAAGCCCATTGACAGGGGCCCTAAAACTGGTGGCATCCCTGCAGGTTTTACCAAATGTATTGGTGCTAGTTTGAAAGCCTGCAATACAGTATTTGAATGAACTACCTACAAAGCGGTATTACGGTTGTAACCCCTACCACCCCAAGCGGAGTGGCTACTAAAATGTAATGTTGCTCGCATTGTCATCAGGCTGGCTGATTTGTAGTCCGGTATCATCTGGTTAATTCTAGTGTGAGTGGGGTGTGACAATGCCACAGAGTGGGCAGCCAATAAGGGAACATCAGATAAAGGAACATCAGGAGTGTCTATGCCTCACCAGCCAATCACTAGGAGTTTCATGGCCAGTGCATAAATACTCAGGGATTAACATGTGCTCGGCCATTCCGCCCCCCAGGGCAGTGCCTGCTGTCATTTAGCTAGCTGGGTGGATCTTGACAGTTTTGTTGGGATCCGTCCCGGTTGCGGCAATCTCGGTATATAGCGGGCTATAGTGAGCTATATACTAAGCTTTGGGTCACAGGAGGAGGTCAGTATATGTCCTACTGTGACCCTAAAAGAACTATGGACCCCATAGGTCTCTTTTAAAGATGCTTAAAAATAAACATTAAGGTCTATGGATTAAACAAAAGACATGTATAATTAAGCTGCAGGCAATAAAATCACATGATTTACCCCAAATTTTGGCACAGGTGGCTTCTCTGTTAGTCAATAGGTACATCACGAATGTCCTAAACCTACTTACTTCACGATAAGTGTCTCAGGTGCATTCCTCTTAGGGTGAAGCTCTTTACTGGCTGGAATACATCTCAATATTAGTGGCTCCTTGTAGAACTAAGGTTCCTGTGTATGCTCAGTCATTAAGATCAAGGTAGGACAGCAGTGGGAAGGTGCATGTGGTGCTTCCCAGCTCAGTCGGTCACTCACCATCCCTGCGGGGGACAAATGCAGCTTGCTTCCTCAAGGCCTGTAGCACTCCAACACAGCCAGCATTTTAGGGATGAGGTGGCGTGTGATGGCTTTCATGGCATGGAGATCCCTACAGACTCCCATACCCCTAGTCCTTCAGGCCTGGTACCTAGATTTGGTTGTTTACTGATGCATCCTCTCAGGGTGAAAACCCTGGAGTGAAGACCTGTACCAGGAAGTGTCTCAGATATTTAATAGCTCTCCCTGCATGCACAGCAGGCTCCCCATATTTACTGATTGGCCAGGTATTAAACAACTTTAATGTGAAGCATTATCTCTAGCACACTCTACTGGATAACATTCACACAGCAGGGGACTGAGACTAATCACTGCACACTTAGGGCGTAATTCACTAAGCTCCCAAAGTCAGTCGAGTGAATAAACAAGCTGAAGTGAAGGGAGCCGAATGGCGTTCGGCTATTCGCTTCAGCCGAGTACGGTTGATTTCAGCCGTACATCAGCTGGCTTTGGCTCCCTTTGGAACCGTAGGGCTCCGGCAGCCGAAGTGAGCCAAAGGATTAGCCAAAGCTACAGCTATATCCTTTGGCTCCTTCGTGATTAACCCACTGATAGAACTCAAGCCAGCACACAACTAAGCTGACTAATCTACACCGACAGATCACAAAAGAGACAAAAATAATTTCGGTAAAATACTACATCCCTACACTTATATGAATGAGCCCCAAATCCATCCCTTCTTTGCTGACAACCTGAACAATTTCACCATTTGAGAAGTGGCTGGGGAAATTAAGAAATGTCATTTATTTTAATAATACCATATGCAGTACATGCAGTATATACACACACATACCAATATGCATATATCTTCTACATGCACAGCACCATCTAGTGGTAAAGAAAAGAAGATTCACATCTGCAGAACTGGCAGCAATTGAGCAATCTGTAAGCATTAATTGTGCAGTTTAATATATGTATATCAATGTGCATAACCTTTTTTATTCCAAATTGTAGAGTTAATTAATTAAAAAGAAATATACTGTAGAATATCAATGCACACAGCAGCAGCCATAATTTTTAGTTTAATTTGAAACAGAAGTGTAACTCAAAACCTCAGGACCCAGTCGCACATGCGACCGCTGTGACCCTGGTAGTTCTGCTAGTGACAGGCGCCAGGAGCAGACCGGCACTGCCCGAGGGCCCTTGTCCAGGAGGAGGCCCAAGTTTCCGCCAGTCTCCCTCTGCCTCTGTGTGTACCAGTAGCACATCCTCCACCTCTATGTATCCCTGTAGCAGCTCCTTCTGTGTATCACCTGATCCTGGCTGACGTTCTCCTCTGGCTCCTGCTCCTGGCTTGTTCCTGACAGCACTGATTTCCTGGCTCCTGCTCCTAGCTTGTTCCTGACGACGCTGATCTCTGTGTTCCTGACCTGGCTTGGACGACTACCCACTCCGGCTCCTGACTCTGGCTTGTTCCGGTTTAAGCTTCTGCTATCTCCTGTGGACACTGTTCTTAATAAATATTTTAACTAGCACCTTTTGCTTGTCTGGTTTTTATTGTGCTCTGACACTCTCCTCACTCTCTCTCCTCGCTCTCTCTTCTGGCCGTCTCTCCTCGCTCTCTCACTGGCTGTCCCTCATCACTCTCTCTCCTGGCTGTCCCTCCTCACTCTCTCCTTGCTCTCTCCTGGTTGTCTCTCCTTGATTTCTCTCTCCTCGCTTTCTTCTGGGAATCTATCCTTGCTCTCTCTGGCTGGCTCTCCCCTGTCCACCCTTGCTCTCTCCCCTAGCTTTCTCCCCTTGTTGTCTCTCCTTGCTCTCTCTCCTGGCTTTCTCTCCTTGCTCTCTCTCCTGGCTGTTTCTCATCACCCTCTCTCCACTAGCTGTGTCTCCTCACTCTCTCCTGGCTGTCTCTTCTTGCTCTCTCCCTTGGCTCTCTCTCTCTCCACACTCTCTCTCCTGGCTGTCTCTCCTGTATCTCTCCTTGCTGCCACTCCTGTCTCTCTCTCTCTCACTCTCCTGGCTGTCTCTCCTCTTTCTTTCACCCGCTGTCTCTTCTGTCTGAATCTCCTGGCTGTCTTTTTTCTCTCTCCTGGATGTCTCTCTGTCTCTCCTCCCTCTCTTCTGGTTGTCTCTCCTCACTCTTTCTCTCCTGGATGTCTCTCCTCACTCTCTTTCCTGGATTTCTCCTACATATTAAAAAAAAATCTGCCACATTGTGCTACAGTGTTTGGGTTGCGCTTGAACAAGAAGGTGGCAACCCTAGCGATACAGAGCGCAGCATTGGTCACATGATCACCTACCAGGCTCCTTGCTTCATTACTACACCCCTGCTGAAAGAGCTAAGGGGCAGTTGAAGAGATTGGAATCCGGAATGCCTCAGGTCTATGTGTATGTGTGTAATATATATATATATGTGCGTGTTTATAGTTTTGTGTGCACACCCTAATGCAATAGGCTGTGCACGCTTATTGTTCCTGCCAAACAGTACTGCGTATGTTTTACTGCCTCTCTGTATCTCAGGTCTTTTGTCTGTTTTGATTGCTTGAAAATAAGAAATATGCTGTGATTGCTTTTCATCTTGATAGTCATTTGGAGGTATAGTCTTAATAGTCATTTGGAGGTATAGTCTTAATAGTCATTTGGAGGTATAGTCTTAATAGTCTTTTGGAAGAATAACCACTGAAGGTACAAACTACAAATCTGTTATATGTAATACAATCATAGAAGTTTGGAAGACCAAGCACATCGAATATTACAATAAAACCATCTCCCTAAATATATACTACTGTATGTGTCTATATGTGTGAATGTGTGTAGATCATTGTTTTTTCATTTATATTCTTAGCAATTAAATTACAGATGATGAAGAAAAGTATTAAGATATTGGACATGTGAAATTAATGTTGGAATATCTTGAAATTAGGTTTAGCAAAATGTTGCACTTGTATCAAGAAAGAAATAAAAAATATAAGATTAAAGTAACAGAACTGGAAATTCTACGTATTTGAAACAAAAGCTTTCACTTGCAAAATAATTCTGTGCCAAAGAAAACAATGCTATAACTATTTAAACTACAATACTGACCTTGTACAAATAAAACTTTCATTATCGGATTGTCTTAATAAATTAGAGACCCCTGTATGCATAGGAAATAGCCCTCCAATCATGATGTCCCCAGGCAGCAAAGCCGCAGCTTGTTCATTAATGGTACAAGTCTGTGTAACGATCCAGTAGGAGCTGCTAAGAGTGATACAGAACAGCCAGTAAATACACATGGTGTGTGTAGTCTAGAAATCTTGAAGAACAAATGTTCTTCTGTCTTTTCAGTGACATGTACATAGCCACAATTCGTTGTTCTTTTTTGTTCTTTTCTGGTTATTTTTAAAGAATGTAAGCTATACATTCCAGCATTCTTAGAAAGAAACCTTATATGTCTATGGAAAGTACCTTGATCAAGTGGCTCCTACGTACTATTAGTATTTCAGTATTTCCCTAGGGCACTTCCTCTTCACCTTATACACACTTGTATATAACACAAATTTACAATAAAACTAGTAATAGACATCGAAGGTAGGTTAGATTTTAGATCTAAGAGCATAGTCCACCTTTTAAAACATCTTCATTTTAAAAAATGTTTCCAAAAACATGCTTCGGTCACTTGGACACGCATGCTTCTGTTAATGCAGCTAGGGGGCCGCTCTGATAATAACATGCACATCATAATGGACACAATCAAATACTTTCCAAATTCCTAGTCTCCAAGTGGTCTGAGGCCTCACCCCTAAATACTAATACAACAATAGCACATCAATGGGGTTTTAACCACTTCAAGACCAGGTGTTTAGACCCCCTTCCTGGCCAGGCCATTTTTCAGTATTCAGCGCTGCGGTACTTTGACTGACGTTTATTCCGTCATGCAACGCTGTACTGAAATGAATTTTATACCATTTTTTGGGGACAGATAGAGATTTCTTTTGGTGGTATTTAATCAGCACTGGGGGTTTAATTTTTTACTATAATTAGGAAAAATCACTTTTAACATTATGTTAGGAAACATTTATTATTACCCAGTTTTTTGGTAAAATATAAAAGTCAGGGTCACGTCGGGTAAACAGACACCAAACATGTCAAGCTTTAAAATTGCGTGCACCCGCGACATCGCAGAAAACTACCATACCCAAAATTTGTCATAGGTGACACTTTAAAAGCTTTTACCGCTCATCAGTTTAGTGTTATCAGTGATTGATGGCCCTAGACTTATTGCTCTCACTCCGACGTACGCGGCGATATGTAACATGTGTGGCGTAATGGGCGCAATTGTCTTTTTTGCACGCATGCGCCACCGACGCATGTTTGCATGCGTGTATGTATGGGTGGGGACTTTTACATTTTTATTTTAATTTTTTAATCCTTTATCATGTGTAACTTAAAATTTTGGGGGTGGGGGGACTTAAAAAAAATGTTTCACTAAACTTTATTGCTATTACATACGGGGGCTAATAAAACCCCCCTATGTGATAGCAAAATATAACAGCGGAGAGGGGGGGGCCGCACCGATTGTTGCAAAATACAAGCGATCCGCCGGCTCTACAGCCGGCGGATCGCTTCTATGTTAACAGGCATTGCTGCCTGTTTTTAAATTGCGGCCATTTACCACCTGCGCGTGCCCAGCGGCGCACGCGAGGGGGCGTGTCTGAGCGGACATCTAAAGACGCCCGCTCAGATCTAGAGAGCTCTGGGCCGGCCCGGAGGCAGTTAAGAGGCATTAGACTTGAATTTTAGAAAAAATATACAAAATGTATTAACAATACATAAAAACATCCATAGATTCCATTAAAAACAACCAGTTGCAATCATGATCATGCTTCTGCCTTATTGCCACATATACAATACAATTTATCATGTACTTAGCACATGATACTAAGAAGATTAGTTTAAAAAAAATCTTTATTATAAAAACAGACAAAATTTTCCCCAAGCTTCCACTGACCCTTTAACTAAAGGACAGGCTTAGGGCAGAGAACAAAAAGCAAGGGGTGCCTACCCTAGTGTGGATCCATTTTATTGAGAAGCGGCAAAGATAAAATTATACTCACAAGAGTAGATCACAAAGGAGCTTTCAAAATCCAAGGAATGGTAAACCAGGAAATGATGGATGAGAGCTGGTTTACCATTCCTTGGATTTTGAAGGCTCCTTTGTGATCTACTCTTGTGAGTATAATTTTATCTTTGCCACTTCTCAATAAAATTGATCCACACTAGGGTAGGCGCCCCTTGTCTTTTGTTCTCTGCCCAGATACCACAGTCTCCCTAGCTGAAGTGGGGCAGCGACCCGTAGCACTCACACCTGTGAACTCTATAGTGGAGTGGTCACCTCTGGCGCTTTTTCGTTTTTTTTCAAAGGACGGGATTAATTCATAGATTGTGTTCAGCCCTGATCCAGATACCGTCTCTGTTTGTAAAACCTTTAAAGTATATATAAACCCCAACAATAAACATCTCCTTTTTGATAAATTTTAACCATTCCCAACCGTATTCAAAATGTTAAAAAAAAAGGTTACAAATCTACTTTAAATTAATTTACAACCATATTTAGAAAACTGATAATAGTTTACAATAAACTTTCTCACATACATTATTTATCTCTGGATGATTCTGAAGGGTTTTATTTGTAAACAACCATTGGTTGTATTTTTTGCATATGTGGCATTCCATTTTATTCTTGTCTGACAGCATTTGCCTTATTTGACATGTATCTGGTGAAACGTGTTTTTCCACTTACATTTGTTTTTCAAAATCTTCTTTAAAAAGTCCTAAACTACCAGCAAAACCAGCCAGCTGAAATCATAAGCTCTGAGCACATACCACTTAGATGAACATTTGTCTCTCCAGTATCACCCTGGAAAACCCCACTGTGTCTCTACTTATGGATTTATATGAGGAAGTGATTAATTTATACTTACCAAAATTTGGAAAAACAAAGGATACTGAATGTTGCTGCATGTGTGTCTGCCTGCATCTTAAACCTCCCAATATCTTTTGTTATTTGAAAAGTCTTTAATTAATTCTACTAATTATTCTTTAGCCTTTAATTAATACAATGTAAGTGCAAAAAATTTAAAGGGCTTTTTAGGTACTGATGAACACAATTGTAATCCACACTGTTTTTAACCAGTTGACATCCGCGGTGTTAAACCCCCTTCCCATCCAGCCCATTTTTCAGTATTCAGCGCTGTGGTACTTTAACTGACATTTATTCCGTCATGCAGCGCTGTACTGAAATGAATTTTATACCCTTTTTTGGGGACAGATAGAGCTTTCTTTTGAGCCATCATAGTTTATTTAATCAAAAGTTAAAATCACTTAAAACTACTGATTTACATAACAAAATGTGCTCCAAAGCAACTTAATTATGCATAGCTCATGACAAATATTGTACAATGATATCAAAAACCAACTACAACCTCCCGGGTCCCCAAAAATAACATTTGATCACAAATGCAATCTTGAGCAACGGCAATAAATAAAGATGTGGTTCTTCAGATAGGGGTAGACCGATCTTCAATGAGTTTCACAATTTGCTTCCTCAGGAAGAGAAGGAAGTGTTTTCTTGTAGCCACTAGATGGCAATATGATAAAAGCAATAACGTAAAAGGTTAGGCCTTCACATCTTCCATGGAACTGTACCACCCACCAGCAAAAAACACGACATAACTAAAGCAATAACCCTTAAATAAATAAAACACACGGGGGTTAATTCACTAAATGTTATTTAATTAGATAAAATGGTCATGTGACCTTTTTTTAGTTGAACATCACAGGAGATAAAAAAAAGTTAATTCATTAAAAATAGGGATGCACCAATACCATTTTTTCAAGACCAAATACGAGTGCCAATACTTTTTTCTCCAGTACTCGCCGATACCAATTATCAATACCTTTTTTCTTAGTGTCATGTCACATTTGTTCTAAAACAATACACACTAATGATTTTAGGACATTGGTAGAGCGCCAGGGCACAGTCGCAGCTGCAAGTGCTGGGACCCTGGTAATTCTGCCACTGATTTCAAGCTGTAGAGGGACAACAAATCCCAGGTATACATTATACAGCAATGCAGAATACCATCATCTATAGATGACTACAAATTCCAGCAAAACATTGTAAAACAATGAAGAATAATATGAAGCTACATACTCTGTGTTGCTCAGCAGGGCTGTGCAGGGTCTCAGGAGGCTGTGCGGGGTCTGACCAGTGCTGTGCAGGGTCTCAGGAGGCTGTGTGCAGTCTCACCAGGTCCGTGTGTGGTGTCTCACCAGGTCTATGCAGTCTCACAAGGGCTGTGTACGGCATCTCCCCAGGGCTGTGCATTCTCACCAGGGCTGCATGCGTTCTCACCGGGGCTGTGCATTCTCCCCAGGGCTGTGCATTCTCACCAGGGCTGCATGCGTTCTCACCATGGCTGTACATTCTCACCAGGGCTGCATGTGGTCTCACCAGGGCTGTACAGTCTCACCAGGGCTGTGCATTCTCACCAGGGCTGCAGGCAGTCTCACCAGGGCTGCAGGTAGTCTCACCAGGGCTCACCAGGACTGCATGTGGTCTTACCAGGGCTGTGCATTCTCACCAGGGCTGTGTGCAGCATCTCCCTAGGGCTGTGCATTCTCACAAGGGCTGTGTGCAGCGTCTCACCAGGCTTTTCGTAAATCCATACCAGACCCTTATCCTAAAGGTCTGGTATTGGTTTTATGGGCTCCCTGGTTCAGAGAGGCTTAGCTAGACAATATAGAAACATGGGGCAGATATTACAGTATCGGTAACTCAAACCTTTAAATCCTAATTGACATTCTATAGACACTAAATCCCCTCCAAATGGAGATGCTCTGATTAATGGCACTGTATATGCAAATATTTGAGCAATATTTGTTTTTTGGTCTTTTCATTCTTCAGATCCTTGTTTTCTAGTAAGTCCCCGCTAGCTAAGCGGCTCCTGTGGAGGCACCCGTGCGTGCTCATTCACAGCCCTGCCCACAGTGGATGTGTGCGTCCGTAGACACACACAGCCCTGAGACAGGCCACATCCCTCCTCCCCGCCCAGCACTTTGACTGCCAGCAGGAGGAGCCTCTGGCTCCTCGGCTCCTCTGCCCTCAGTATCCCTCCTCAGAACCAGGAGGTTCAGGATTGAGGATCGCAATGGTGACAAGCGCTGCTGACAGGTATGTGTAGGGGGGGACGGGGGAGTCTAAAAGGTACTGGGCGTTTTTAACCTTTATGCA